TCATACGTGCCCCTGGTCACTCTGTGACTGCAGACTAGCTTTTCTGAACCTCCGCAATCAGACCAGCAAGGAGAACTGGGTACTCAGGGATTTTTAAAATAGGTCAAGTATGTTTGAAATACTCTGTATCCAGGGCATCTCCAGACAGGCAGCTGGATCTCACGTGGCCAACCCATTCAGTTTGAGTTCTGGACCCAATGGCTTGAGAAACATGCCAGGTGCATCTGTGTGAGTGTTCAAAATCCTGGAAACAGGGGGAGTTGGAAGAGTAGGAATTGTGGTGTGATCCATTCCCCATGGGATATGATTTCTCCTCTGCTTCTCTCTCTCGTGAGGGCATGGCCCTTTCGCAAATAAATAAATAAATAAATAAATAAATAAATAAATAAAATAGACAGAGAGAGGGAGAGGGAGAGACAGGAAGGAAGGAAGGAAGGAAAGACTGTCTCCTATTATGATTTCATTTGCCGAAACAATATACTCAGGGGTGAGGGAATATTTGTTTTCTTCCCAAGACCCACCTCAATGATGCATAGTACTTTTTGTTTATTTCTGGAATTAAAAATGTTTAACAAGATCCAGCTGCAGTAGTGTGCACTACTAAGAGGATGTTATCCAAATGTTAGGACCACATAGAGGCCTGGATTCAAGGCATGGTTTCTTTTGACCACAGATAAACCCTTAAAGCTGTTCTTCTTGGGAACCAGCAGTTAGTGTAATGGCTATGTCGCTGGACTCCCACGTAGTCGACCGCGGTTCGTGTCGACCCGGACCCGATGGCTTAAAACTCACGCCGAGCGCGTGTGCCCAAGATCCCGAGAGGAGAATGGAGGAGAAGGGATTGCGGCGTGACCATCCCCCCCGGGGGGTGATTTCTCGCTTTCTGTCTCTATGTCTCTCTCTGTCTGTCTGGCGAGCGCACACGCCCTACAGTGAAAATTCCTCCAAAAAAAAAAAAAAAGCTGTTCTTCTTCTAAGAGTTTTTGGAGGGTCTTCAATATGTTTTTCCTGTTTTAATAAACTAGAGCTTGTTTTGAAACCTTGTAGGTTTCATTATTGGGTCATTCCCAAGTTACTAAATACACGCAAGTGTAGCACTGACTAGTCCTTCGGCCAACCATGCCAATTTAAGGACATGCCTTTCCACGTGTCTCGTCTCTTGATTTGCTTTAAAAGAAGCATTTGTCAAGCCGGCAGGTGGAGTGGAGGTTAATGCACTAGACTCCACATGGCTGATTGTGTGGTTTGAGTCCTGGACCTAAAGGCTTGAAACTCATGCCAGGTGTGTGAGCGTACATGCCCAGAATTCCAAGAGGAGACTGGAATAAAGGGACTTGAGCATGGCCATCCCCTATTCTCGCTTCCCCTCTCTCTGTCTCTCTCTGACAAGTACATTCACCCTATAGCAAAAATATAAAAATATAACACAAATTCTAATAAAAACCACTTGTCTGGAGATCCACGTCCTAGAGCTATGTGTGCTTTTCAGTAGGTCAGAACCCTCTGGGTGCAGGAGGGTCCAGCTTTATAGCAGATGCTGTTTTGTTCTCTGGGATGCCTTCCTTCCTTTTCTTGCCTCCCGTCTCCTGCCTTACATGCTTTGAGCAGCCAAGGCAATCTCTGGAGTGACGCCATTCCATATGTTTGTCTCACTGTTGTCATCATGTGGCACTCTGATCCAAACAAGACTGACAAGTCCCCGTGAATGTTTTTCTTTCAGAGGACAACAGACCCTTGAGGCCTAAAATTGTGAGTCCAGCTAATGAGACAATGGAAGTGGTCTTGGGTAAGTAAACGCCCAGCAAGATATGCCAAAATCATTATTTTGAATTTAAGACTAACGTAAATGGTTCTGGTCTAGCCAGGTGGTATGGTGGTTAAGGTGGATGGCTCCCACATGGCCAATGCACAGTTCAACTCCTGGATCTGGTAGTTTGAAAAACACACTGGGTATGCACATGCATGCCCAAAATTCTGAGAGGAGAATGGAGGAGAAGGGATTCTGGCATGGCCAATCCCTGTGGGGTATGATTTCTCATTTTCCTTCTCATTCTTTCTGTCTCTCTCTGGCAAGCACACGCACCCTATAGCAAATTAAAAAGACAAACAAACAAAAAGATAAATTGTAACATTGCTACACATAACCTAAGCCATTTACTGAATATGTTCATAAGCCAGAAGAAGGTGGCGCAAGTTATATTTAGTTTTATTTAGAGTTCTTGCATCTTGTGACAAAAATCTAGCCCTGTCTAATTTTTTTTTTTTTTTTGGAGAGGTTTTTGCTATAGGGCACGTGTGCTTGCCAGAAAGACAGAGAGAGACAGAGAGAGAGAAAGCGAGAAATCACACCCCCAGGGGGATGGCCACGCTGCAATCCCTTCTCCTCCATTCTCCTCTCGAGATCTTGGGCATGCACGCACACATGCCCAGCGTGAGTTTAAGCCACCAGGTCTGGGACTCGAACCATGGTCAACTACATGGGAGTCCAGCAACATAGTCATTATGCTAACTGCTGGTCCCCAACCCTGTCTAATTTTCTTAGCCCTACTTTTGTATGAACAGTTAACTACCCTAGAGTAGATCAATCAAAAGGCAAGTTCAAAAGGCTGAAAAACAAGATATGTGGGACCAGCAGATGGCGTAATGGTTATATCGCTGGATTCCATGTAGCCAACTATAGTTCGAATCCTGAACCTGGCAACTTAAAACTCACACTGGGCATATGGGCATGCATACCAAAACCCCTAGAGGAGACTGGAGGAGAAGGGACTGAGGCATGGCCATCCCCCTGGGGAGTGATTTCTCTCTTTTGGTCTCTGTCTCTCTGGTAAGTGCACACACCCTATAGTAAAAATCTCTTAAAAAAAAGAAAGAAAGAAAGAAAGAAAGAAAGAAAGAGAAATGTAATTTATTTGATGGACACAGGATGGATTTCTTATGACCAGAGCTAAGCTTTTAGTTAGAAAAGTAAGACAACAAGCCATAAAAATGGTAGTCCTTCTACAAAAATACTTTTCTAAGCTAGGAAATGCTATATATTTTAAGAATAGAAAATCTTCGAAGTATCCAGACCGGCATAGTCCAGTGTACTGACTCCTAGCCACCTGGAGCTATGCACCTGTAAAATTAAATCAAATCAATTAATGTAGTTAAATTAAAAATTAGTAGCTTAGTCACATTAGTCATACTCAAGGGCTTACTAGGCCCTTGTGATGAGTGACTACCAAGTTAGGTAGCACAAATATGGAACGTTTCCATCGCTGCTGAGTTCTTCCATCGGGAGCCACTAATCCAGATGTAAAAATAGCTTCTTATATCAGAGAATCAAAAAGCAGACTAGCCTCAGAATTCTCTTCTGGGAGAGTAACTCCATGACCATGATCTGCACAGAGGTTGGAAGGAACATGCATGTGACATGTGAATTCTGTACTTTGCTAAGTAGTTATGGAACTGGAAGGTAATAGACTTTTTTAAGTATAGGCAAACAAACATGTCAAAATAAATACCAGTCAATGGAATCTACATCTTTAGACCTTTTCTCCTTTACTTTCCTTCTCTTCCTCGGAGTTTTAATACCACAGTCATACTGTATATCTGTACCTGTTGACATTCTTCTTAGAGAGAGAATTTTGTATAGGGCACATGCACTCATGCACTCACAGGAGAGACAGAGAGAGACAGGAAAATAGAAAGCAGAAAAAAAAGTAAAACACACAGACACACACACATACCCCAGAGAGAGGATGGCCACGCCGCAGTCTCTTCTCCATTCTCCTCTTGGGATTTTGGGTATGCATGCACATATGCCCAGCATAAGATATAAGCCACTGGGGCTGGGACTAGAACCGCAGTCAACTATGTGGGAGTCCAGCTACTTTACCATTATGCCATCTACTGGTCCCTAGCTGTTGATGTTCTACGGACTGTTGGAGGCCCATGAACCACTGTAATAATGGAAATTTCTTTGCCTCCCTCCCCAAGAAGCACTTTTCATGTAGTCCCTGTTGAGAATTCTTGCTCTAGAGATATATAAGGGAGAGTTCTGAAGCTTAGGTTACACTGATCTCCAAATTAAAAAAATAAATAGTTTCATATTAGAAAACAATTATTTGGGGACCAGCAGATGGCACAGTGGTTACAACCCACATGGCTTACTGCAGTCCGAGTCCTGGACCCAGAATCTTGAAACTCATGTCTGGCACATGCGTGAGCCTCCCCCACATCCTGAGAGAACAATGGAGGAGAGGAGATTGCAGTGTAGCCATTCCCCTGGGGGGTGATTTCTCGCTTTCTGTCTCTCTGTTTATCTCTGTCTCTCTGGCAAGTGCATGCACCCTATAGTAAAGCCTTTGAACCAAAATAAAAAGGAAAAATGAAAGAAAATTATTATTTTAATACATCACATGGCACATGGATGATAGACCAGAGGCATGAATCACCCCATAATAGGATTATCCTGAATTTGACAAGATTCAATACTAATTATCAATAAAATGAATCAAAAAAAGAAAGCTTGAAGGATGCCTTCTTAACTTAATAAATAACATTAATGCAAACCAATAGTCCCCAACATTCTTAATTGTGAAGTACTGTAGGCCTTCCTATTGAAATCTTGAGCAAGACAAAGATACTCACATAACCAGTGTTACCTAATGTGACCTAGAAGTGCACACTAAAGCAACTGAAGGAAAAAAAAATCAAAGCAGGCTGACTGTAAAGCAAAAAAGATTTTTAAAATTATTTTCAGATTGTATAATTATCTACCTATAAATCCCAAGAGAAATACTGAGAAAAATTTTAATTACCATCTTATTAATTAGCCAGTTAAAGCATTACTTTTCTCAAATGTTAGACTTATTTAGCATAACCAGCTGTAAACTGGAGTGGAAAAAGAGATCCCATTTGCAACAGTGAATGTCTATACAATTTCTGAGCAAACTCTTTCAAAAATATGTGAGATTTATAAGAGATGAAAACAAACAAACAAACAAAACCCAAAAGTAAAACTCTGAAGTATTAATCTCAGGAAAACTAAGATTTAAAGCATATATTCTCAGGAAGTTAAACGGGGTGGAGTGATATTGTCTCCAATGGGGACAATATTGGTGTTGGGAGATGAAAAATAATTAATATCAACAGATATACTATATTTGTGGTATTAAAGAGGAAGGAAGTAACTGGAATAAAAAAAATTAAAAGGTTGAAAAGGGGCAATAATTAAACCAATCTTGAGAAATATCAGTTAAAGGAAAGATAAAGAAGCCTTTGAAATGTAAAGCTGTTGACTCACAAAATTATAGATTTATTGGAATTCTTTTTTAAAGAATTATGTTATTTAACTATATTTATTTATTTATCTTATTTTGACCAAAGATGGACAGAGAGAGAGAGAGAGAGAGAGAGAGCGCAACCTGCCAGGTCCAGGGCTTGAACCTTGGTAGGCCATGGGGGAGTTCAGCATCCTTAACCACTAAGCCACCTGCTGGCCCTGGATTTATTGGAACTGTAATAAATTATAAATGTGCTTAAAAACTGGCAATGATTCTGTAATTTACCTAGAAGAAAAAAAATGATAAGATGTATTAAGATAATGCTGGAATTTAGTGTTAGAATATTTTAAGACATTAATCGAGAATTTACTTTATAAGGGCAGCATCACAAATTAGTGGTGAGGAAAATTGTCATCAAGCAGTGGCTCTGACAACTATCTGTGTAAAACCTTAAGTTAAAGCTTTCCCTTATACTAAAGGAATTATATTCTAGATAAAGAACAAAGCCATCCAAACAAAAAACAGTGAGACCATTGTACACCTAAAAGAAAATGTACATAAAAGTTTTCTGGTTTGGTGATAGAGAGAGCTTTTACAAAAAATATGATGAAAATGGGTAAAATAAAGAAAAATTTATAAATATGTCCACAATTTTTTTAATCTACATCAAAAAATTGTTATAAACAAAAGTAAAAGGAAAGCAAATAGCTATGAAAAACCTTTGGAATATTTTTTCATGTATTCTAGAGTTAATATCCTTGACAAATAAAGAGCTCCTTGGGGCCAGCAGGTGGTATAGTGGTTAAGGTGCCGGACTCCCACATGGCTAACCATGGTTTGAGTCCTGGATCTGGCAACTTGAAAAATGACACTGGACACATGGGCATGTGTGCTCAAAATTCCAAGAGAAGAGGGACCAGCAGTTAACCTATTGGCTATGTCGCTGGACTCTCACGTAGTCAACCGCAGTTCAAGTCCCAGACGCGGTGGCTTAAACTCACGCTGGGTGCGTGTGCGTGCGTGCCCAAGATCCCAGGAGGAGAATGGAGGAGAAGGGATTGCAGCGTGACCATCACCCCAGGGGTGATTTCTCACTTTCTGTCTCTCTGTCTCTTTCTGTCTGTCGAGCGCACGCGCCCTATAGCAAAAACCTTTCCGGAAAAAAAAAAAAAAAATTCCAAGAGAAGAATGAATGGGAAGGGATTGCATTGTGGTCATCCCTCCGGGGGAGTAACCTCTCACTTTCCCTCTCTGTCTCTCTTCAATGAGCACGTGTGCCTTATTACAAAAATCTTTAGAAAAGTTAAGGAAAAAATAAAGAGAATTCCTCTACATCAGTATGGTCAATATGAGAATGTGATTGAAGAATGGACAGATGGACTAAGAGCTCTAAAAATAAAACAAAAACAGGAACATACTAGTGAGTGCTAGGCTTATGCAAAACATGTTAATTCACCATGAATTCAAGAAAGGCAAATGAAAACTTAAATGGAATATGTTTTGTTCTCTCAGTTGGCAATGACTAATCATAAGCAGTCATTACATGGAAGTGTGTGGGAAAATGGCGCTCGTCCATACTGCTGGAGAGAGTGTAGACTGGCCTAGTCTCACTTAAGAGAGAAAAGAAGCTTTTAAAATGCGTATCTTCCTTGAAGCTATAATAGCAGGGAGGGCAAGAGTAGATACCAGAGACTGTACAGGAAGGGGCTGGACTGAGGGGCTGAGGAAAAGGGCAACATGTAATAGACATAAGGATGCCAAGCTCCCTGTTGAGAATGATTAACATGGTAATATATGTGACTGGACTAACATGCACTGCATGTGTGGTTTGGAAAACCATGTTGTATGCTGTAAAGATGTACAGTGACTAAATGCAAATTTTATTTAATTACGTACTTTGTTTTATTATTTTTTTTGAGAGAGAGATTTTTGCTATAGGGCACATGCACTTGCCATAGAGACAGAAAGTGAGAAATCACCCGTCCAGGGGGGATGCCACACAGCAGTCCCTTCTCCTCCATTCTCATTTTGGGATTTGGGGCGTGCACACACACACACCAGGCATGAGTTTCAAGCCGCCAGGTCTGGAATTCTAACTGCGGTCTCCCATGTGAGAGTCCAGCGACCTAACCATTATCCCATCTGCTGGTCCCTTTATAAATTTTTTTTTTTTTGAGTTTTTTGCTATAGAGCGTGTGTGCTCAACCGACAGACAACGAGAGACAGAAAGTGAGAAATCACCCCCCAAGAGACAAAGAGAGACAGAAAGTGAGAAATCACCCCCCAAGGAGGATGGCCACACTGCAATCCCTTCTCCTCCATTCTCCTCTTGGGATCTCGGGCATGCACGCACACATGCCCAGCGTGAGTTTAAGCCACCGGGTCTGGGACGCAAACTGCGGTTGACTATGTGGGAGTCCAGTGACATAGCCATTATGCTAACTGCTGGTCCATTCCCTATGTAAATTTTTTTAAAAAGAAAAAAAAGTATATCTTTCCGGGAGAACCTCATAGCCTGGTGGTTAAGGGAGTTCCTGGCCTTGGCAGCCTGAAAAACATGCTGGGCGCCTGTGGGTATGTGTCCAAATGTGAACAGGATGGAGAAATGGAGAAAGAACTGTGGTATGACCTCATCCATTTGGGATTTGTATATACACATATAAATATACATATATGAATATATGTGTATATATATGTATCTTCTTTAATTTTACTTGCAGATTTTTACTTGGAGTAATACTTCAGGATATGTACAAATACTGTGTGTAAGAATATTCATTGGAATATTATCATAATAATGAAGAATTAGACGCAAATTATGTTTGGCAACAGGAAAATGTCATAGTGTATCTGGAATAGTAGCCATGAAACAATCTGTTTTGAAGACTAATCATATGGGTTGAAATTTCTAATTCATAGTAATTAAAAAATAAGATCCCATTAAAAGCTGCAAACTTTCACAGAGAGAAGATAACAAATGAGGTACATAAAACTATTAATAGTGATTATCTCCAGGAAGTGGGCATAAAAGCAATTCACCGTTTTCTTTGCGCTTTCTATAATTTAAAATTTTGATCGGATAGCCATTTATTTATCTAGATAGACAGAGTAGAATAAAAACCAATTAGTGCTATAAATAAAACTACACTGTTTCATAGGATCCCAAATACAATTGATCTGTAATGTCACCGGCGAGGAGAGTGACAATGTCTACTGGAAGTGGAATGGGTCAGGAATTAGTGAAGACGATACAGTGCTGGTTGAAGACTATGACTTGTACGTATGTTAAAAGCCACTCACATTTTGGTATTAGATTCCATATCATATTGTGAATAGCCTTGATGGTTTAATCTAATAGTCAGAGTTAGTTTGCGGTTCATTGGTCCTAACCCTTTGCTGCCTATTTTGAATTTTGCTAAACTAAACAGGATTTGTAAGATTTTACACATTTAAGGTAAAAACATGTCACTGTGGTACAGATTCCAAACTTCTGAGAAGCCTTTCTTGTAATTCAGTTATCCTTGTTGCAACACTCCTGTGAAGCAATTTTCCTGAATTACTCTTCATATTTTCTAAGTAGTTTGGAAAAGACTCATTAAATGGAGTCAGTAATCAGGCATTCTGCTGCTCAAAAGTCTGCTGGCTTCCCATTGCCCTCCGGAGGAAAAGGATCCCCTGACTCCCTGTCACCTCCCACAGGACAGGGATCCCCCCCACTTCCTCTTACTTCTCTTTCACATCACCTGCAAAGCCCTGTCATCTGCTCCAGTCTACTCTTGATCAATATATTCTCTGTTCCCCATGGAAGCCAGAACACTATGTCTGTATTTTAATTCTTGGAAGCTGGTCATTTTGATTTGGCTTCTCTGCTACTGAGTCTGTTACTGGTAATGATCTTGGGGATATAAAATCTCAGATCAGAGTTACCAACAGGCTGATAGTTATGCCTATGATTTGGGCAGGTGATTATTTCAGCTACAGTTTATGTTACAAATAAAGATGTAAGGCAGGTATCTCATTTATAGTTGATGCAATTCACTTACACAACTTTCCCCTCTCTTCTTTGAACAGTGTGGAAAATACTTTAAACAAAAGGAGGAGCATAGTCATCACAATGCTTAATATTTCAGAAGTTGAAAGTAGATTTTATCTATATCCATTTACCTGTATCGCCAAGAACACAAAGGGTAATGATGAAGCATATGTGCAATTGATTCATCCAGGTAAACAACAAACTATTTAAAATGCAGTTATCTTTTACTATAGTAGAATTCCATAACCTCGCATTTTGCAATCCTGTTTCTTTTGCCTGGAGCACTCTTTACTTCCTCTTCACCTGGGTAATTTCTATTCCTCTTTCACTTTGTGTCTGAATTATCCCTTCTCCTAGGAAACCTGACTGTCCTGCTGCTTTCTTTTTACCCCACTCTTTATCCAAGAAGACATTCTCCAAAGAGGCTGTCAGAAGTGGTTAGTTTTCAGGAATTGGTATAATCAAAACACAATATGAAAGCATTTTAAGATAATGTGTAGTTTAATTAAAAATAAGATATTGATAAATATGAACATGGAAGAATATCTGAAAAGACCTACAAACTACTAGAATAAATAAACTAATTTAGTAAGAATATTGAGATAATCTTGATTTATATACTGTGTAATTTCTATTTAGGTCTAAGTACCAACAATGTACAAATAGAGATTAAATTTAAAAGATAATATTTACCGTAGCATCAAAAATCAAGTACTTAATAATAAGTTTAGTCAAAACTGCTCAAAACCTTGATAATACAAACTAAAAATATATATATGAGGTAAACTAGAGAAGACCTTAGTGAATGGAGAGATATACAATGTTCATAGATTGAAAGACTCAGCATTGTAAAGGTGTCAGTTCTGCTCAAATGAATCTATAGAGTCTAAATAATTTCAGTCAAAATCTCATAAGGGTTTATGCAAGTGTGGGTGTGTTGTGAGCACACCTGTAAATTGATAGTTTTATTATAAAATTCATAGGGAAATAGAAAGGACTAAAATAATAAAGGTAGTCCTACATAAGAACAGTAAATCTGGAGGATTTACAGTACAGATATCATGATCTTGCATGAAGCTATCGTAATTAAGATTATAACTGTGAATTATCAGTTGGGCCAGTTAGATATTGATATGTAAAATAGTATATCTTCATTTCTACTTCATACTAAAATCAATTTCATATGGTTCAAAGATATAAATGGAAAAAGTCCTGGAGTTTGTGATTTTTTTTATGGATTCCTACATAGTCCCTGACATTTGGAAGGTACTTTCTTCTTTCCTCTTACTTTCCCTTCCTCTCTTCCCCTTATTCTCTACCCCTAACTCTGTACCTTATACTTCTTTCCCTCCTCCTCTGTAGTCTTTGGGTGGATAATTGGAGAGAGAAGCTGGGAGAATGTGAAAATGTGAAATATCCCCTAAACCTTCTCTCTTTCCTATCTTAGTCTTTGTCTTTTCCCAACCTACTTCAGTGGATTTTTGTGGCCTTTTGAATGATTTTGACTTTTGTTTTATTATCAAGTGCTCTGTACTATGGTCTTCAGTATTGTGGTGTGTGTGTGTGTGTGTGTGTGTGTGTATTATGTTGTTTGTGTGGAAACTTAATAGAATGCTGTTTAGTTGTATGTAGTATCCATGCTTTGTACATTAGTATCAAACTTCTATGAAATGATAATGATGAATAAATGAGTACCATCTGAATGTAGGCCAGTCCTAAATATGATTTCTCTGTGATGAAAATGATCAGTTTGCTATGCTTAAATTTTTAATTCTTTTCGATTGGTTCTAATATTTTTCCCTTCTTTTCTTCTACAGTCCCTGATTTCCAGAATCATGTGATTGGTGCATTTGTCATGTTAACTGTCATAATTATATGTTCAGTTTTCATCTACAAAATCTTCAAGGTTGACATTGTGCTTTGGTATAGGGATTCCTGCTATGATTTTCTCCCCCCAAAAGGTATAATTTTGTGTGTATTCTGTGCAATATTGTCTTGTTGGAGAGGGGCAATCATTAGAAGAAGAAGATGATGGCTAAAAGAGTTTTTACTTATGTTTTAAAATTAAAGGGGGCTTATACAAGAATAGTAGCTATTCTTACACACAATTATAGTGTCATAACGGACTAAGCTAAATACCACTGCTTTTCAAGCTACTTTAGCATTTGTTTTGGAAAGATGAACAGGTGTTTACAGCGTCCGTTTGCAAATTCAGTGACTCTCAAATCATTGCTGAGGGCATGGTCCACATTGTTTAGGACAAGAGTACTTCATGATCTGCCTTCCACGGAAAGAAATGGCAAGACTATCATGCTTCAGGGAGGTCTCTCTCTTTTGTTTAAACCTTGCCAAAAATGAATACCACAGTAATATGTAAAAGGAAGAATGGATAGAAGCCAGGGCTGGGGCCTTTGGGGAAGAAAAGAACTGGGAGATCAAGATCGTTCCATACTGAGAGTATGTGAAGGGCCATCAAATAAAATATATGAACAACTCCATTGTAAAACACAGTACGGAGAAACCTTATAAGAAATGAACACTTCAAAAGAGTATTGCTTGCCAGCCAGTGGCATGGTGGTTAAGGCAGCTTGATCCCACATGGCTGACTATGTGGTTCGCGTCCTGGACAAGGTAGCCTGAAAAACCTGCTGGGCACATGTGTGTGCATTTTCAAAATCCCAAAAGGAGATGGAGAAGGGATTTCAGTTTGGCCATCCTCCCTGGAAGATGCTTTCTCACTTTCCCTCTGTCTCTCTCTCTGGTGAGCTTGTGTGCCCAAAAGCAAAAAAACAAAACAAAACAAAACAATGCAAATAAATAAAAATATTGCACTCCTGGGACTGCTGCTTTAGTCATACCATTGCACAAAAAGGTTGATAATTCATCATGAAGTGCATATTTATAATAACAACTTTATCAAATGTCTTTCTTTATGTCTTCATTCTAAGTGCATTGTATTTTCACTTTAGCTTCAGATGGGAAGACCTATGATGCATATATACTATATCCAAAGACCCTTGGGGAAATGTCCACCTCTGATTCGGATATATTCGTGTTTAAAGTCTTGCCTGAGGTCTTGGAAAAACAGTGTGGATATAAGCTATTCATTTATGGAAGGGATGACTACGTTGGGGAAGGTATGTATATAAAAGGGGGAAAAAAGTAAAAGGCTTTCTGTTGTGAATCTAATTGCTAGTTTTGGTTTCATCTTTTTAGAAGACTGGGGCATAGGTGCACATGGTGGTTGATTTTAAGAACTTCTTCAGTGGTGTCTGATGATGATTTTAACATTTATAAAATGCAAAGTATTCACTTCTCTCACATTTTGTTGGATTTTTATGTAGTTTGGGAAATTTTGTTCATTTGTTTTTTTTGCTATAGGGCTCATGCACTCACCAGAGAGAGAGAGGTAGAGGGAGAGAGGGAAAGTGAGAAATCATCCCCCTCTCTTTAGTGGGGATGGCCATGCCACAAGTCCTTCTCCTTTATTCTCCTCTCAGGATTTCAAACATACGTGCACATGCGCTGGCATGATTTTCAGGCTGGGTCTGAGAATCAAACTGCGTAGTTGGCCATGTGGGATCCAGAGCCTTAAATTCCATGCCACCTGCTGGCCCTGGTTTTGGAAAATTTAATAACTGGTTAAACCCAGTAGTTTCTTTATAACAGAAACAATAAAATAGGAGTAGTCTTTTTTTTTATAGTTTATTTTTTATTATAATTTTTTTTTCTCATCGCAACACACAAATGAATTTTCCATCCAAGATATACTGTGCATTGGCTCAATCAAGCACGTCAACATATATGTTCTCAGCAAATAATTTCCCAATTCTTGTGTCCTGCATACCTTGCCTTTTGTTTTACCATCCTAGATTCCCCATCCCCCTCCCTCTGTTATGACCCATCCAAAATAGGAGTAGTCTTGATCAAATGATTTAACAGAAAATTTTTAGAATTTTGACAAACATTTCTGGGTTTTATATAAAATATTCCACTTTTGTGGGCCAATTTTAGAGGTGATCTGTAAAATGGGAAATTCCTTTAATCTAAGGAAGGCAAGAAAAATGCATTAAGAACCTTTGGGAATGTGTTGGGACAAACTGTGCGGCTTTGATTATGGAGAGAATAATTATAAACTGAAATTGTACTTACTATACTGTGTTCATGTTTTGCAGACATTGTTGAAGTCACCAATGCAAACATAAAGAAAAGCAGAAGACTAATTATCATTTTAGTCAGAGAAATACTGGGTTTTGGCTGGCTGGGCAACTCGTCTGAAGAGCAAATAGCCATGTACAATGCTCTCATCCAAGATGGAATTAAAGTTGTCCTGCTGGAACTGGAGAAAATTCAAGACTATGAGAAAATGCCAGAATCCATTCAATTTATTAAGCAGAAACACGGGGCCATTCGCTGGTCAGGGGACTTTAGAGAGGGACCACAGACTGTAAAGACAAGATTCTGGAAAAACGTCAGGTACCACATGCCAGTCCAGCGGCGGGGGGCCT